TCCAATCCATTTGTTTTGTTTTTCACCAATTTTCCAGAGGCCTTTCCTTCACTCGTCCCTTCCTAAGACCCCGTGACAACATCATCATTACGAAAGCAACGGAATAGTTATTATAGACCTTATAGAATAAAAAAAGAATAAAAATTTTTTTTGTTTTTTATTATAACAATAAAACATATTACTATGTACCTCAATCAAACCAAACCTCACCCAGTGACTCTTCACGTCAATCACAAATCAATAAATACCTTAGAAACTGTTGGAATTTAAAATAACTTGCTTATTTTATTTTTAAAATATAACAAGTTTATTATTCATAAGTTCATACTCTCTATTTTATAGACTTCTAAAATACATCAAACCCGCTTTCAATATTTTATTAATCTATCACTATTCCTGTCTACTACACAAAAGCCCTGCTAATTGAAGAAAACAGATCATCCTTAGAATCCCCGTTCTCTCATGTACCGTTCCACTTGCGGATTAAGGATTTAATTTTGGGGGGAGCATCAGCCCGTACCCTTTTATATATGTATAAATACAAGAGTACGGTAACGGTTATGTAGTTACACGAACAATAATACTTTTAGTGATATTTTTTTAATATTTATTTCATAAGACATGGATATATTCATCTTAACCATTTTTTTTTTTTTTTTTTGGAATGGGGAGACTTTAGCCTAAAAAACACCTGGATCCGCTTGTGTGTTTTACATTTCGCAATCCCTACAACTCTATCGGTCTAACTTACATTAATATGTTAAATGTAAGCATTCCAGTCACAGTACTATAAACAAATTTCAGGACATGGCTATTTGGCAATCCTCACGCATCCAGACTTTCTAAGAGGTATCTAGCCTTTACTAGGTAGCTCGTCCTCTCCATCTCCAGACATAAGAAATGTAAGAAAACGTGGTAATCCCTCATGACGAATTTTTTTTTCCATCCAGTCCTTCCTCGCCTTTAAAACTGTACGGATTTACCCGGTCAAGGGGATTAATGCCAGAGTTAAAAGCCCACTAGCACCAGGACACGAACTCGTAATTATTTAATCCAATTAAGATCCATGTAGTTGTCGGGCAACGCGGTCTTTTGCACATATATGTGACTGTGCACAGGCCTGCCAAGCAAATCCGCATCTCCTCCCCACCTGAAGCTTTGCAAAGTGGTTCAAAACGTTAATAAAAATTGATAAAATAAGTGCAATTTATTAGTGCTCATATACTTTACTCATCATGCCTCTCCGATTTCCCTCTTATTCTGTATAACTGGTGTTATATCATCGGTCAATTACAGCCACACCATTATTTACTTACTTCGTGTGGTTCTACAATACGTTACCGGTTCTAGGTCTCCACAATAGCCAACCGCTATTTATTTATTTCTAATACTGATGCCTTCCCGTTGCAGATGTCAAGGCTCCTTGCGTATCCAGCCACAAAGTCAATCCAGCGATGTATAGGCATGCCGATCCTTCTTTATTCTTAGAAGAGCTTAAAAAGGTGTTTCCTATCTTATTTATCCTTGCCACATGACCAGCCCAGGTTGATCTGGTTCGCTTTACAATTGAGACTAAATCAGGTTCACCACAGAGATTATAAATATTCTGATTGGCTTTTCTTCTCCACCTTCCGTTAATAATGACAGGTCGCCATCCTGGTTTCTGGTATGTGAGGATTGGGCGTTTTACAGTTTTAAACAAATAATACTTTTCGACTTTGAAATGAACCTGCTTGACAAGAGGTGTACCAGCGCACACACAGAGCGTACTGGTATAACAGTACCAAAGTAACTGTTTTGTTTGCAGGTATCATTCGTTTTCTCATCTCTTTCCCATTTCATTACCACAGGTAACTTGGGATCCTAGGTATTCACCGACTTGTTCGAAAAGCATTGCGGTCTGATCGGATAACAAATACGTTTGTACTTTTGTCATCATCAGAACAATTCTTCTAGATTTTTCTACAATAGCAGAAAATGTCAGTCTTACTGTTTCCCACGATTTCTACGTCATCTACCAATTCTATTCACTGTCCCGACCTGTTGAATATTCTTCCCGAGGTCTGGATACCTGAATTCCTAACTGCCTATTCTATTACTAAGTTGAACAGTAGACGTACCAAGGCGCCCCCTTGACAGATGCATCTCATTGCTTGAAAGCTTTAGAGGTCTCCTTTCTTGCTGATTGGATATGTTGTGGATTTCTTCCATCCATCTCGAATGGGCTCGTCCACTCATATGGTGAATTTTTGTGAAGCCTTTTCAAGACCAGCACCTCCATACTTCAGAAGCTTAGCTCTGATATCATCTAAAAATATGTTTATATTAAGGTGGTAATATTGATTTTTTGTGTTAGTTCCTGACAAAGGCATAATGAATACCGAAGCCCCAGTTTTAAAAGCTTCTTAATTGCTTAATCCGTTCCTGGATTTATTGGAAGACTAAACATAATCTCTGGATGTTGAAAAACAATAACAGAATTTCATTTGTGAATGTGAAAACCTTACCTTCTAAATCCTGCGTTACCTAAATTACACAAAACTGGAATAAATCGCTAGGCATTACTGTGGTTCCTGAGCAACAAACAATTTGTGTTAGGGCCCATTCCCTTTCAGATGGGTTTTTACTACAGGTGAAGAAGAATTTTCCATCCTAAAACGTAAAAACAACCGCCAACCTGCTCCTTGGATGTGTTAAGAACTTCGTGACTCGCAAAAGAGACGTGACGCAGCCCGTAGGCGCTTCAGACGAACTGGCAGATGAGTATCAAGCCTATAGGGTACTCCGAAATTTGACACAAACAACGATCAGGAAAGCGAAATCAAACTTCTTTCACAAAACCTTATCTTCTGCTCCTGATTCTAAATCAATATGGCTAACCCTTCGTAAACTCCATCTTTGTAAATTCTCTTCCTCATCGATCTACTCGGTTTCACCTGACGAATTAAATTCATACTTTATATTTTCCATCACCAGCAACAGCTCACCCTCTTCTTACCAGTTTTCCTTATCACCTTCATTTAACAGTGATAATTTCTATTTTTCCAGCATTTCACCAACCGACCTTATTTCCTCTATAGTGAAATCCCATACAAACTCTATCGGACTGGATGGAATACCTGTCAAACTGATAAAATTATGCCTTCCCGAAGTCCTTCTTATTCTCCTTTTCATCTATAATTTTTCTCTCCATATCTCAGTTTTTCCTACTGCTTGAAAAAAAGCATTAGTCATACCTATTAACAAAATTCCCAATCCTACTTCTCCTAAAGACTACCGACCAATCTCCATTCTCTCTAACCTTTCTAAAATTCTGGAAAGAATAGCTCAATCCCAAATCTCTAAATTCCTTGAAAACTCAAAACTACTTGATCCTCTCCAATCTGGTTTTCGTCCTGGCTTCTCCACACAATCCGCCCTACTAAAAGTACCAATGACATACATATCGCAATGGACGAAAAAATATTAACTGCGTTAATACTTCTCGACTTTTCCAAAGCTTTTGATTCCTTAGACCACTCTACAGTAAATTAAAATCTCTATCCTTCTCCAACAGCTCTATCCGTTGGTTGCAGTCTTTCCTATGCGACAGAAGTCAAGCAGTCAGCATTCCGAACCAAACCCTATCTTCGTTCCAGCTATTTCATCGCCCCCGCCACCTACTCCCACAACCCATCCGCAAGCTCCTTGTATCTTCTCTTATTTTCTACCACTTTGACTACGGCTGTGTGGTGTACGGAGGCATCCCTATGGTACTCGAGGATAGATTAAAGGGACTCATGAATTTCTGCTTAAGATTTGTTCTCGGTACTTCGAGGCGATCTCATATGTCCCACTTTTACGATGACCATGAGTTAAAGTGGCTCTTCCCTTCTTTTCGCAGACAATATTTCCTTGGATCTTTTCTACTCCAAACGATCAACACCCGATACCCTTCCTATATCTACAGTCTCCTACAGTTCAAACCCGTGGTCCACTCCCAGAAAACAAGATCAGGTGCTTTCGACCTTTATATCCCTTCCCATAGAACTAAGACATTTGAATATTCCTTTATTGCCCGATCCACTGCCTTCTGGAATTTCTTGCCATCTGATATCCGCCATGCCTCTTCCTTGTCCTCATTTAAATATCATCTCTACCGATTCCTTCTCACATTCCAAAATGACGTTGTACAATGAAATAAATATTGTGAAACAGATTTTGACTGAGGTGAATGGTTGTTGAAATTGTTCGAGTTTTTGAATTTTAAAAATAAAAAAAAATAACCAGTTTTTTTTCAAAATGGTGTTATTTTTTATTTGTTTAATATAGTTTTACTGAAGATACTGTATATATTCTTTGATGTTGATTAATGTAATTTTTGGCTAGATGTAGTTTTTATTTTTTTGTTCATGACTGTTATTCATAAGGAACCTCGTCCCAGAATAAAGTTTATTTATTTATTTATTTATTTCTATCTATCTAGCTATCTATCTAATATCTATCTAAATATGGAAGCTTCCGTTAAGTTGGACCTCCAAATAACTGTTGCGGTCCTGAAAGTTGTGCTGCTAAACATTGCAAGGATAGGGAGGACCAATAGTGAGGATTATCCAATAACATTATTTAAAAACTTACTGGAAATGGCTGGAGTTTTTTCTTCTTTCATCGGAAATAACCTTTTGGAAATACTGTAAGTACTTGAAAAAATAATAATAAAAATATGAATTCCCTGAACGAATCTTTTCATTTGTTTAACTTATTAAACTCTTATTATATTTAGTCAAATAATTTTTTTTTTTAGTGTTTTGGGCAATCCCCTTTCGTTCTCATTATCTGGGAAATCCGGTTATTTCCCTTTGTCCTGATTGGCAAATGTTATACATTACACAACATTCACAAAGTAAACGCTCCTCGTATCAGCCCATCCACGAAACATGTTTATGATCCCTTGGGATTTTTATATCAGGAGTCAACTGAAGATTTTCACAATTATTTCGACTGTCCATGGCGAATGCTCTCTCTGAAGCAAAAATATTTCTTGCGTTTAGGTTTTGCTTAGTTAATTATTAAGTATTAGATTAGTTACCTTAGTATAGAATAGACATATCATTATGGTCTCTATGGAGAAGAAATCGGATGTTCCACTAGAAGAGGCTTTAACCATAGTTGGTAATTCTGGTTTAACTTCCATTAATTTATATTTATTGATAATGATTTAAAAAATATCGCCTGACCAACAGTTTCTCTTTGGGATTTCAAGGCATGTACTTTTTGGATTAATATCTACATTGTTTTCCCTTCTATCACTGTAAATAATACTAACACATTTACAGAAACATGCCTATGGGAGAAGTTTCGGGGGGGACAGTTTCGGACCCCATATTGGGAGGTCTAATTTTATCTTACTTGTATGATTCCTTTATCGGAATTATATTACATGCATTTTTTTTTTCGTTCAATCAAACCAGAACTTCATATTTAAATATAAAATAGTTGTTTTTTATTTATTTTTTTTTTTTTTTGCACTTTTAGGGTGTCTATCATTAACCCCTGGCTCCAAATCATTTAGGTATTCCACACAATTTTCATTGCTCATTTCTTGAGTATCTCAATAGAAAATATTAATTAATTTTGAATATTTTCGATTCTTTCTATCTTGTTCTTTGCAATCCTAAAAAAGACCTCCAATGTTGGTCGAAACTTGAGCATTCAATCGTAGAATTAAAATTTTTCTTTTGGAGTTAATCTTTACCAATAACCAGACCTTGATAAAAAAAAACTATTTATGTATTATGGAATATCATTTTAGATATCATTGGCTTCCTTTATCAAATGATAATATTATAACTATATGTTTTTTTTAAATATAATTTGATGTTACTGATATTTTTATCATGGCAATTTTTTAATTAATAATTTTTCAAAAAGGTCTATGATTAGTTTGTATATATCTGTATCTTTTTTATTGTATTATTTTATATGAAAAGAAACGATTGTTACTTTACTTGATTTTATTTGATAACGATGGATGGTTAACTGAATAGCTATGTCATTTAAAATCAATAATTTTATTTTCCTAGGTGGTTTCCGTTTCACAGCCTACCTTATTTTGATTTCGGGCCTCATCGGATTCGGTGCATTGCTATGCCTTCAGGCTATGGCGTTCATCATACCAACAGCAGGCTGTGAAATGAAGCTTTCTGACGCAACTAAAGGAATCATGGCGTCTATGTCCTTTACAGGTTGGTATAAGGAAAAAAATTTTGCATATTATAAATTAGCAACAATAAAATGAAGGTAACACGTGAGAGTTGTATGTATGTCTCGGTGAGCAGACACACCATAATAGGTTAATTTTTTTAAGGTATAATTAATGATACTATATTTAATAAATTATATTTATATGATATGATATTCCAATTTTTAAAAACCTTAAAGCTTCAACTATCATTATTTATTTATTTTTTAACCCTCCCATGCCTCTAGACCATGCAGGTATTTGCTGCAGTGGGATGTCACTGTTACATAACAATCCACTGCTGCATTTTCAAACTATTACATTCTCTTTCTTAGGTGTGCACACAACATGCTCTTCTATTCACGTGTACCTCGTCTGTTTCTCTTCTATTTATTCTGGTGGCCTCCCCGATGCAGCTTCTCTTTTTCTTCCCAGATAGAAGTGGTTTTGGTAGTACAAGTTCTTTCCATCCGTATATAAAATCTTTGAAGTGCACATATTTGTCTGAAGCCATAAGTTGAGAAAGATCTCTATCTGTTAAAAGAGATCTGTCTCTCTCAACAGTTTCGCCCTCAGTAACTCATATGGGGTACAGGTAAGTACAACACGCTCAGCGGTCTCCGTTACCCCACAACTTGGGCTTAGGGCAACGGTATTTATACCATACTGAACGAGCTTTGCTCGGAAACCAAATGTCCAGTGAGAATCTGTGATTTAAAGCTTAAACTATAAAATACTATTATTTATATACCCTTGACCTGTGGGTCACAGTACTATGAGCCCAGCAACACTCTAACATGTGGTGACACCGAAGAATTATTTATTCGAGTTGTCGCATATAATCGAAAAAGATTCAACCTTTCAATCGTTAATTTTTTCAAAAGTTTCGCGCTTTATTGTCAGTAATTAATAAATTTAATTTGTGATAAAAAGTTCAGTCTACTCTCGATAATCTGATAATTGGAATTCTCGATATTCCGAGTCGGCTGTACTTGTAAAATTAAACTGAGTCGCAGTACCAAATGAGAAATGTGACAATTAAGTTGATTAACGAACTAGCTGCGGTGGGGGGAGGGGGAGGTAGAAGCCAAGCTATTAGGTAATTCAGTCTTTAATGATAAATTACATTCTGTATAAAAAACTTTTATATTCATTTATTGATATTAACGATTTAGAGAGAAATTTAAAGAAATCTTATATTAAAAATCTTTATACTCTAGTAGATATGGTTTATATTAATCAATACAAAAGGTTTTTTTGAAAACAAAAATTTAGCTCTTGTAGCGTTTGTGGGTTTCCCTTTTGAGTTAATAGAAGAGCGGATTTGTAGTAGGGATGGGATATCAAAGGACCAATATGACAATATTGTCATATTGGTCCTACTTCGATAATCGATTTTATAAACATTTTTATAAAATATTGGTCATATTTTAAAAATATTGGTCGGACTTCGATAATCGATTTTATAAACATTTTTGAAATATGAATATGAATATAAATATTGATTCTTTAGCAAATAGAGTATCAAAAATCAATGCCGATATGAGAATCAAAAAAGGTGTTATTACTCTCTTTAAATCAATTAATGGAAATGTCTATTCTCCTACCCTCCTTAGTAATATCAATTTCCTAGTTCCTGTCCATCTTCGTCTCTCTCAGCTTTTTCCAGAAATCTCCATTTAACCAATTATGCCTTCCATTCACCCATGGATCGGATTCAGCGAAATGCTAATTTATTTGAGTCCCACATAGATTTCTTTTACAATTCCAGGCTTTTATTTGAAAAAGTTCTAACTAACAAATTTTTTTCTAAAATTCAAAGTCGATATAAACACTTTAATATTCAGTAATAATGGAACAATGTTAATTCGATGGATAAAGACGAGACTAATTGAGCTTCCGGTATGCACTCACACAACACTCTGTGCTAAAATAAAAAATAAAAATGCACCTTTTCCGAGATAAGGGGTTTGGCACTAAACAACCTCACAATAATTTTAATGTTACCGTGGGAGACATTACATGTACCGTCGACTATTTTTCTATGAATGAGAGAGAAGAAATTATTATTTCTTATTAATAAATTTTAAGATAAGCTTCAAATACAATTTGGTTAGGTTTCTAATTATCAAGTGAAATACACGTGGAGGTGTTAAGTATTCTAATTATTTGAAAAAATAATTACAACTCTTAAAATTGTTTTTGTAAATTTTAATCTTATTTATTTTTTTTAAAAACCTGGTACGTGTACTAAAATGACACAGACCCTTTTATTTCAAAAAGGGAAAACTCATCAAAATTATTAGTAATTTAAGGTTATGAAATGGCACTTAATGAATTATTGCAATTTTGCAAATTTAATGTTTTATTTCTTAATTATTTTTCATTTTTATTTGCGTATATGTCGTGACGCCTGTTTATATAATATTTTATCAATTCCAATTATTGATCTATCATTTTGAAAATCCCATTTTCCTTCTTTGGCAAAAAATAGCCACATCCTCCAGTTAAAGTTATTAAGAAATGGCTTTATATTCAATTATATCTATAATAATTGGAAATTTTTATAGAGTGTTTGACAGATAAATTAATTTTTTTTTTCATTTGTGATCAGTATTATGTCGAAATCCTGGACATATGAAGTTTTTTGATTATTTGAAAAACAAATAAAAATTGAACGCGTTTCTATGTTAAGCAGCATAGTACCACTTAATTCCATCGCATCAGCACATATATTATTTGACTAAGGCTCGAAATCGGATTCGTTACAAATATAACCTCTTGTTGAAGTGAAATGAAATGAACGGTGTACCATTGGATTAAGAATTTCACCGGAGGTTAGCGAATTGTACTCTCCATTTTTGTCAAATAAATAAAGTCGATATCAATATTTCACTAGGCTTCAAAACTGAGATAGTGGTAAGTCGGTGGATCGAGTCCGGGTAAATTGTTTTTAAGATAAAGTATTTTATTTGTTTCATATAAGCGTATGTACAAAAGTGAACGAATCATAAGTGAATGATATCCTCTTTTCTCAAGAAAAAGTGGTTATCATTTACTTTTTCGGGACTTCACATGTTCAGTGAGTTAAGAGAGAAATGTTTTGGGCAGCGGACCTGTTCTCCAGAAGAATTATTTGGTTTCTTAAAGGGTTCTAATTGGAAAGCCTTAAGCAATTATGTACAGCAGGCCACATTGCAAAGATCTCAATTAGTCAGATAGACAACTATTGATACAATATCATGTTTATTTATTGTAACGTTTGTTTTATTGTTATATAACCCCTGTGAAATTCTGAAACCAACAGTACCCCATTCATATGGATGTATTCCACGGAATGTGATAATTACATGAGCTTATATTTGGTACTAAACCGATTTCGATTCTTAGTGAACTACGTGCGGCGATATTTTTTTTTTTATATTTAGAAATAGTTACACGTTTAAGTGATGTTACATGTTTCGTATATAATATCCATTCATAACTATTATTCAATATATATAACGTAGGATGTCATTTAGAAATAATTTTAAAACTAAATTTGGAATGCCCCACTATCTATGTTTGATAACTAAATGTTAGTTTTGCTAGTAACACACTTAACCTTGTAAATTAAAAAAACATGTTGTTTTATTATTCTTCCGGTATCATTATTATGAAATTATTTCGTAATCAGTCCACTTCATCTAAAAGAAGATTACTTGTTCCATTTTGCTTATTTCATTTGAGAAACTAATGTCAGTTTTGTTCTGTATAAACAAATTGTATGCCTTTGTTATTAAGTATATTTTACACGAAATTGGTCTTGTTTTTAATTTTATTTCACCTTTTACAAATTTTCATTCTATCTTTTCAAATGATTTTCATCCTTGTTGTATTTTGTCTACTCCAAAAGAAGAACTACAAAGATGACTGAAATTTATAATAATTTTCCAAACTAATTATGAAACATTCCCAATAGTTATTACGAGTATAGAATCCAACCATGGAACAAACACATGCATTAATTTTGTTTTTCTTTTCTAATTTTTCTTTTTTCTTCTTCACATTTTCTATTCAGATCTGTTCTCCTCCTTTTTGACAATTTCAGTTCTCATATTTCTTTCTATAAACTATAGAATATAAACTAGTATTAGTATTCCGTTAGAAACTATCATTATTATACGTCGGCAAACATCACATCTATTATAGATTGCTACAAGAATCTAATAAATAAATATCTTTTTCTCTTTAGTATTCTTCTATCTATTAATTATATTTATGTTGTCATGCTTCTATTTATATATGATTTTTTCAGGTATGCTATTCTCAGCTCAGTTGTTTGGGTTCCTCGCGGACACTTTTGGAAGGAAACGTGTAATGATCTGGAGCCAATGTGGGACATTAGTAATTGTTGTTCTATGGAGTCTTGCACCGAATCCTATGGCCTTGGGGGTGGTGTTGTTCATGAATGGATTAATGTAAGTTATTTCACAGTTTTTATATACTTGTTACATATACTTATTATATATATATATACTTGCAAAACTATAACAACAGCAATACTTCAATTTATTTGGAACGATAACCATTTGCCTTTGACTTCGACCCCTCAATACATAAATAAATTCATTTAAAATATTTTTATACATCTCTATCTTTCATCGTAAACTTCGTAGTAATGATTCATGTATTAATAATGCATAATTTCACAATCATGATAATTTCACTGAACAGAAAAATTTTCTCCATTTCAATGCATTTTAAATAAACTTTTTGATTGAATAGCAGATAATTCTGTGGTTTCTTAATCTTCAAAGTCTTAATTGGTTGATTATATATTCTTTCATTGTTAAAAAATTCAAATGTTTTATATTGTTATGTTGTTGTTTTTTCATTTGTTTATTTTTTGTTCCAGTTTGACTGGTACTTTGACTCCAGTATATGTTTACATCGGAGAATTCTGTCCAGCTCGTATCAGGGCAAGAGCTCTACTTGGAATGTCGGCCATAATTGCTATGTCTAACATATACCTCCCAGGTATGATATATTATTTACCATAATTTGTGATAACCTGGACTCACCGAAAAACAAATTTAAATCACAACTCTTATTATAAAAATATAGGATTATCTATATATTTTCTTAATTTAAATTTCTCCAACTAACAGCAGCGCTAATGCTAGCTAGCTAGATCCTGAAAAACTTAAACATGTTCCGTAGGACCAAGTAATCACTTACATGGTCTGTGTCTAAATTATAGTGCAGAAGATACCAATAGTAATTTTATTAATAATAATGTTAATAAAGTCGTTTTCCTATAAATTGCACTATCCAGGCCTTATCATCATCCATATTATCCTAGGCAATATTTTAATTTACAAAATATATATCCCATTATATACAAATAAGAAGCAATACCAAATGATTGCTTCCTCAATAATTTTATAAAATACCATACCATTTGCCAAGCCTTCAACCAGATACAAGGAGAGATTCGAAAGATATAACAAAATATAGATGGTAGACATCAATATTTGGAAAGTAACAAATTGCTTAAAGCTCAATGTTGAAAAAACCAAGGCCACCATCATCGGATTTAAGCATATTAATTTCCTTTCGTATCAGATACAAGATGAGACTGAAGAACTAATTGTTTCATAAGATTCATCTTTGGGGTATCCAGACGTTCTCACGTCTCTAGTTGATATGGTTTATATGTTTCGCAACAACATATTTCCTGAGTAACTATCATTTACAATTTTTAGAAACAAAAAAGCCTTCTAACTTCCTCAATATGCCCACTCCATATTCTTCTACACACTCATTAAACACAAGATTCCTACCCACGAACAGGCTCGACAAGATTTTATTTTTCTAATTTAAAAAAAAGTATAAATTAAAATACATATATTATATAATACCTTTAATTAACATTTTTGTTGAGTTTTAGTGATAAATTTAATATTTGTGGGGGACCGAGAAAATAATCCCTAGGTCCTATGCACGGGCGGATCTACGGGAGGGGCCTTTGGGTAAGAAGCCCCCGTCAAAATGGTAAAATTTAACCATGTCTTATGAAAAAAAATATTCAATAATTACCTCCAAAAGTCTTATTGTTCGTGTAATTACATTTAGTAGTACTTAAAGAATCACTTAACTCTATTTCATATAGGTAGTTAGTTCCCTTCTTTTTTTTTCTACGTAATTAACGTTATATGTTTTTAAAAAAAATCTTTCTGGCTGAAGCTTCCCCTCCCCAAATCTAAATCCTGGATCCGCTACTGGTCCTTTGGCTTCTCTCCAAGATCATGCCCACGAACTTCAAAATTTGTCTTGCAAAGCAGTTCTCTCCAAAAAAAATTACACATCTTCATTCGTAAAACCCTATCATCAACTTATCATTTAAACATCAATTGTTTCTTTATATCCTGAACTGACAATGTTGCAAATATATTTTTCATTATAATAATTCATTTAGTACAATTTTTACAAATTATAATAGAATATCTGTCAAACTTTATTTAGTAACATCTAAATTTTAATACACTAATAATAGTAAAGAAATGAAGAAGAACGTTTTAAAAGTAAAATAAAAATATTGCTAATGACCTTTTAAAAATTACTTTTTTTAATTTTACAATTCGTGAGGCAATTTTTAAAATGCGTACCTAAAACACATTTTTGTCAAGAACATCGTTATACAAGATTGCAGGAAGTTACCTAAATCTAATTTGTTTATGTAAGTTAAATTCTTTTCCACAAGATCTAGATAGTCAGTCTTGTGTATACCTAAAGAAATAAAGATATAAATATATTCTCCATATTTAGACCCACTTATGATTATTTCTTCTTATTTATCAAAATTGTATAATTTCTAGGAATGGCACGGATAATTTTACCGCTAGATTTTCATTTGCCGATATTTGGCCTGCTCACATTTACCTCATGGCGCCTCTACATTTTAATTCAATCGATACCAATTTCACTGGCACTGTTTTTTCTTTCAAGACTGCCAGAAACACCAAAGTTCCTGTTAAGCCAGGGGAAGAGGGACGAAACCATGAAAGTACTGAAGATAATTTACTCTATCAACAATGGAAATAATGGAAACGACTTCCCGGTAAGTGATGCAGCTGCAAACAATAAAAAATGGTAACAAAAGTGGAATAATAGTCACAAATGTTAATTTATTTTTCAGATAATAAGCTTGAAAGTGGATTCTGAAGATGAAGAAAAGGTTTCCCCTACTCAAGAAAGTGGTTACCTGTTCTTTAGATACTGCAAGATGATGTTAAAACAGTTTATTGCTTTGTTCTCAAAAAAATATATTCTGATCACTTTGATTTCTTGTGGACTGCTTTTTGGTGAGAATGGAATGTGAGTATTTGAAACTATCTTTTCTTAGACAGTAGAAGTACTTTAATCAATTTATTTAAATAGTCCATTAAGTCTGACCTAACAAGAAGCAGAATTACTTATTAAAAAATTATTTTCCAATTCTGTTGTACTTTCGGAAAAAAATATTATCCTGTATGAAAATAATTTGATCCGGGCTTTTATATCCTGAAACACTGAAACAATATCGCTAATCGATTTTGTATTTCTGGTCGAGATATTTCGATTTATTTTAAACATAATTCCACCTATTTCTCTTTTTTCAACTTATAGATTCATGCATACTTTATAATCTCTATGCTCCTCAAGATCTCTCCGTGCATCATATCACTTGCCTATGGGTCTTAACTTGTGCATATCCAAAGACCAAAGATGGGTTCAGTGCCGACCTTCTGTGGGGCAACCGAGGCAATAGCCCAGGGGCGTCGATCTGAAGGGACTCCCGTTAAGGAGGCCGGCCGATCATCAGGGGTATTAGCCACTTGTTAGAAATTAAAAACAAATACAAAACGTCGTATTAAAAAATTAATTTTAGCCTATCAATAAAGCGACTGCGTTAGAGAAATGTTGAATTAAATAAAATTCGAATATTACAGAATATAAAACAGCTTGAGAAATAAATTTAACTTTTTTAGGAGGGAGAGATTATGTCATGCGGCGCCCCCGGAGAATGTCTAAGGCCGGCCTGGATAGGATATATATATATATATAATAATAATAATTATAATAAAAGTCTTAACGAACAAGAAGGTTTGATGCTGACACCACCAATCTCTGTCTACACACCTCTCTTCCTCGGTCACCGTCCAAATCCAGTCTCTTCAGATCGGCCTTGACGCTATCTTACCATCTTCGCTTCGGCCAACTCCTCGGACATTTACCAGTTCTCACAGTATTAACCTTTTAGGAATTCTTTCGTTACTAAGTCCAGCAATTTTGCAAGCCCATTTAATTCGAATAGGGGGTATATATATATATTACAAATCTTTTTTAATAGACCTCTGAGTATTACATTTTGAAATAATTATTTTAATTGAGAATAAGGTCATTGAATTACAATTCCATGAACTACAAATTATTCATTAATGTTAGTGTTTATTCGACATTTCGATACCCTTTTTTTCGTTCTTATACTAATAATGGAATCATCTTCTGTGCTAGAATAATAAATTGGTACATAATTATGTTTTATATGTTTCAACTATTAATATCAAGTATAATATACTTTACTAAATCGATCCTCGAGACCTCAGGCCGGAAAATATATAATCCAAAAGTCTCAAGAATATTTCTTAATTTAGAATTATCGCATAAGAACAATATTTTAATGTTTTCTTTCTCTAGACTTGAATTTTTAATGATTTACTTTTAATAGCACACTATAATTTTAATTATGGCTGATAAATATTCAGGACGCAGTTATTGTAATTTTTTTTTATTTGTGCCGACGTTTCAACCGAAACATGTGTGTCATCATCAGGGCGTGGTTCGAGCACTGAAGGCTTTTAAGTACTGAATATTTATTACTTATAATAGTTATTATTTGTATTTATATGTTTTTATATGTATTTATATAATATGTATTTATAATATTTATGATATGTAGAACAGTCGACTAGCTCCCTTCAATAATTTTCATTATATTTCTCCCAGAGTCATGACTGTTATTAGAAAGTACTTTTAACATTTAAAATTAAATCAAATTAATATGCCAACCCTCCAAAACTTCACTATTATTTGAACTAATCATTTTGCTTCTCCGTAGGTGTAATACCATGATCTTATGGTTCCCTGAGATGACAAGTAGAATCAGGCATTTCGCTCTAACCAACGATGAGTTCAACACTGATTTATGTGGCCTTATGAAAAAAAACAATGTTGGAAATAGTCCTGGCTGCAAGCTAAACTATCAGTTCCTCTTTGCTGGGATTTTGCTGGGTATAGTTGAAGTGATTGCTTGTATTGTTGTAGGAGTATGTGCGAGTTGGATGAACAAAAAACTAGTACTCTGTAAGTAAAACATTTGACTTATTACATAGTGATTTATATTGTTAATATTGAGCTTTAACATTTTTTTTTTCGTTTAAGCTGTGAGTATGTTCTTGACTGCTGGAATAAGCTTTGCATGCGTGTTCATAAAATCAGAATATATATTATCCGTTTCACTTGCACTCATAATCGTAATTCTATTTGTGATGTTTCCTGTGATAATAAGCATTGTTATGGATCTGTTTCCTACGAAATTGAGGTGAGAAAAGAGAATAAGTTCATGTAACAGCATTTATGAATTATTTTAATTAGTAACATTATTATTGCTATACGAATATATGTGATTCACATTTTCTAATGTGTCAAGGCTATAGTTCGTGGTACAGACCCCTTTTCAACAAATTATTAACATCCGCGTGAATCTTTGTGAATAGCTTCGTCTCATCATAACCTATAACTATTTTATTTACGAAAACTCTTGGAAATGAGGCATTTTCCATCAGGGCAAACTTTGTCTATTTAATTAAGTACTACAAACCCATAAATACCAATAGATGAAGCTATTTACAACGTTTCAGGCGAATGTTAATAATTTGATGATGCGGTGTTTGTACAATTATCCCTATGTTCTTTACATTTTCTTAGACAGTATGTATACTAAAACATTTGATATACACATAAAGTTTTCATTTGAATGCCAAGAAGTTAACAGTAGTCGTGTTCAATCATTATTAACAAAAGGATATGCAAAGAGCACAATGTACATTTTTTCTGTTGGCTTTAAAGCCCTTGTAGGTCTTTGCCACCTTCCCCACCTCTGCATACCTTGGCTTATTGTTTCTCCATTTTCTGTACGCATTTCTGAAGTATCTTTGTTGATTTGATTCGCTCTACATACTATATGGCCTCCCACGTGATCGCTTGCCAACTATTGAAGCATCTATTGTTCATTTCGGCTTTCGTTATGGATTTCTCTAAGCTACATTTCTTCTTTATTTTTTTTAAGTTCTATATTGTTCCTTTTCCTCCATTTGTTAGTACTCTGATCATAAATCGAGCATATCGTAGTTGTGTGGTTATCGCGCGAATCATTTCCTCTCAAATCATTCAATAGTTTTGTCCTGGGTGCTGGTTAGTGTCCAGGTCTTAAGGTCGTATATTATAACTAGCTTTATGGTGTCATTTTTTACTCTTAATTTGAGATTTCTAGTGATTTTTCGATACTTTTAAAAGAGAGAAGCGGAAATAGCAATACCTTTAAGGGAAGGGCAACCTGTTTTTTTCTGATTATTCATCATTCTGTATTAGACTTCGGAAATATAGGATGCTTTGAATTCGACATATAAGCCGTATAGATAGATAGATAGATAGATAGATAGATAGAAAAAAAACTTTATTCTGGGACTAAGTCCCTTCAGAATAACAATAATGTACAAAATAATAGAATATTACTGGCCTGAACGTTGAAACAATAAATAAAATTGATAAAATAAAATAAAAAGTAAAGAAAACCTTAGGTGCACAAGCTATATACAATACAGATAAAACTATGTACAGAGCATTTAAAATTATGAATAAAACAATTAAAACTATGAACGAATCACTTGAACTATGAACAAAATTATATTTAAGGGTTGAACAACATAAACATACACTTTGAGAAATGAAGAACGAAAAAGAGATACAATGAGTTCATTTCATAAAAAAAAAAAAAAACTTTACTTGAATATATATATGAAAATAAACAGTTACTTATAATTGAATAAAAAAAAAATACAAAAAAATGTATGTATTGAAATTCCTACGTCGATAGTAGGAAATGCATGTACTATCTCTTACCAAGTGTTATGATTATATGATTGCTACACAATACATATATAATATTAATCGTTAGCTGGTATCTGACTGTTTTTGGAACAGGAATTGGAATAGGAGGTTTTTGAATGTGTACAGGGAAGGGGCATGTCGAATTTTGATCGGGAGGGAATTCCAAAAGTTGACAGAGCGGGCTATAAAGGAATTTTGGAATGAGGCAGATCTATGAGAAGGGATGTATAGGTCGGAGGGTCGGGATCTTGTAGTGAGTGAATGGATTGAGGACTTAAATTGGAGAAGGTTGTAGGCATAAGAAGGACGATGATCGGTAATGATTTGATAAAGGAAAGTGCCAAGGAAATATTGTCTTCTTAAGGAGGGGAAGAGCCACCCTAACTCAGTGTAGTGGTGGGAGACACGGGAGCGTCTCGGGGTTCCGATTACAAATCTTACGAAGCAATTCATAAGTCTTTTGAGTCTATCACGCAGTTCCACCGAGAGGCCATCGTACACCACACAGCTGTAGTCAAAGTGGGGAAAGATGAGAGAGGAAACTAGGAGTCTACGGGTATTTTGGGGTAGAAGATGGCGGAAGTGATGGAATAGTTTGAGGGTAGAAATTGCACGGCGGGATATATGAGAGATATGGTGATTCCAGGAAAGGGTTTGATCTATGAGAAAGCCTAAGTTTTTAACAAAGGGATAGAAGGTGATGGGGTGGTTGTTTAGATAGAGTGAGGGAAAGTTGGTGTGGGATCTAAGAAGGGACTTGGAACCAATGAGAATGGCCTGAGTTTTGGCAGCATTTAGCCTTAATCCATTTAAGTTGGCCCAGGCATTAATTCGATCTAAATCTTCTTGAATTTTGGCAAATGCCACCAATAACTCAGCGGGAGAAAAGGATAAATAGATTTGAGAATCGTCGGCATAAAGGTGGTGGGAACAATGGATAATTGTATCATTTAGGTCATTAATATAAGAACTGAAAAGAAGAGGAGACATGCTTGAACCCTGTGCAACTCCTGAGGATAAAGGAAGGTAGGCAGATAGAGGTTGATTAGGTATGGAAACTGCTTGGGTTCGTTGTGAGAGGAAAGACTGGAACCAAGAGATGGAACTCTTGGAGAAGGATAATGATTTTAGTTTGTTGAAAAGGATGGAATGGATAATGGAATCGAAAGCTTTAGAGAAATCAAGAAGTATAAGTATGGTTAGTTTTTTGTCATCTATTGCAGTCTGGATATCACTAGTAATTTTAATCAGAGCAGATTGTGTAGAGTAGCCAGGACGGAAGCCAGATTGGAGAGGATCGAGTTGGTTGGATTGTTCAAGGAAGTTGGAAACTTGGGATTGCACTAACTTTTCTAGGGGTTTAGAAAGATTGGAAAGGATTGATATTGGGCGGAAATCTTCGGGAGAGGATGGATTAGGCTTTTTGTTTAAAGGAAGGACAATGGCTTTTTTCCAAGAGGTCGGGAATATTGAATTCTGCAGGGAGAAATTGTAGATGAAAAGGAGTGCTGGGAGGATTTCAGGGAGACATAATTTTATTAGTTTGATAGGAATGCCATCTGGGCCTACGGAATTGGAACGGGATTTCATTATAACGGTAATAAGGTCTGTGGGAGAAATGTCGGAAAAATAAAAATTATTGTCGTTAAAAGGTACCTCTGGAGAAAAGCCGGAAGGGGATGGTAACGAAGAGGTGGAAACCGATATAAAGTGGGAGTTTAGGTCATCAGGTGATATTGGGAAAACTGAGGAAGGGGATCTAGAAGGTTCACAGAGGGAAAGCTTACGAAGTAGAAGCCATTTTGATTTGATATCAGGAGCTGAGGAAAGGGCTTCGTGAAAGTAGTTCGCTTTCGCTTGTCGGATCCTTGTCTGTGTCGTGTTGCGAAGCACTCTGAATATTTGATAATCATCTGCAAGCCTAGTCCGTCTGAAGCGTCTGCGTGCAGCGTCGCGTCTCTTCTGCAGATCCTTAATTTCCTGACACATCCAAGGAGCAGGACGATGACGGAAAGTGGAGGTTTTGAGAGGAGCGTGGGTATTGAGTATATTGAGAAGATTGGTGGTGAGAATATCAACCATGGTGTCGACAGAGGAGCAATGATATATTCCATTTAAATCCAATGTTACTAGATCAGGTAATATTTTTTCTCGAGTAAGGGTATCCAGTTGGCGGAAAGTGATAGTTCGAGGATGGATTGGAGGAGTGCAGATATTATACGTTATTTGTATCAGATCATGAGATGAAAGAAAGGATACTGGCACTTGAGAGGCGGAGAGGAGGTTTTGTGCTGAGTCGATGATGTAGAAGTCTAGCCAAGTGTCAGATCTGCTGGTGTGGTGGGTGGAGGAAAAAGGAACGATGAATAGGTGAAGTGAGAAAAACAGATTTTCTAAATAGGATTTGTCATTGGATTTTGAGAGGAAATTGGTATTGAGGTCACCGGAGATAATTATTCTGGGATAGAGGGGAACGAAGTTGAATAGAGTTGATTCGAAGGACGGGTCAAATGGCACGAGAGGAGGGCGATATACCACGGCGTAAAGGATAGGAGAAATATTACTGAGAATTTCTACTAAGAGATATTCTACATGAGGATGATCGGAAGATGGGGAGCAATCGAGGATTCGGGTCTTTAGGCTATTGTGGACAAACATGGCTACTCCACCGCCAGTCCGGTTTACCCGGTCATGACGGAGCAGGATGTAATTCGGCAAGGATACTGAAGATGATGGAATATAAGGTTTAAGCCAGGTTTCGGATATTGCTATGATATGATAAAAGTTTTGGGTAAAGTATTGCAGGAATTCGTCATAATGGGCAGAAAGTGATTGAGAGTTAACTTGACATGTGATTAGGGAACTAGACATACAGTGGATTTGGAGAGAAACAGTCAGTGTTTGGTAGCGAGAAGACAAAACGAGTAGAAAGTACAGAAAAGCGATTATCGTACATGAAACTAAATAAAGAAAAAGTAATATTAACATTAAAAATAAATAAAGAGAATGTACTTGAAAATAAATAGATTGGTGAGTGACGGTGTCGAGATAGCACTAAGAGAAGAAGTAAGACTATTTTAATGAGGCTAAGGGGTTGACGGCTTCTAGGTAGTCAGTCAAATACATCTAGATCCGAGGCCTGTTCTATCAGGATGACTCTATGTCCGTCCTCTTTTCGACACCGCACCTTTCCGGAAGCAAACCACGTATATTTGATTTTTCCCGCCGCTCTCTTCTGCCGGGCTAACCAATAGAGGTGTCTGTTTGTGCGAGTCATCTCTTCACCCAGATAAATTCGGTGGCAGTCATTTTCCTGCCAACCGATATCCCGCGTGGAGAAATCCCTCTTCACTTTCCTTTTCGTAATTAAGTCATCTCTAATTGATTGCCTGACAAAACGTGCGATAACAGGCGGTGGTCGCGAGTCATCTTTTCGGCTTCTGCGGCGATGTACGTTGTCCAGGTCCTCCACACTAAGCCTGATCCCCAAGCTTGCTCCTATACTGGTCACCAAAGCAGCGGGCGTTTCGCCCGGTCGCTCCGGTATACCGCGGATCTCCAGTGATCTACTCAATAGTCCTTGCTCTGCGTTATTCAAGCGAACCTCTAATTCGCCCACTCGGGATTTGAGTGTTTTATTTTCTAATAGTATCTCCTCAAATTTTTTAGCTTGACCTTCCAGATGTTTTTCAATCTTCGTCAGTCTTTCGTTTAGTTCAAAACTGAGCTCTCCGTATTTATCTAGTGCTGTTTTCATGTTTTTTATATCTTCGTTCACGGTAGCGTCTAAACGGTTTACTGCCGCAAGTATTTCTGAGGGGGACGGCTCGTTATTTTGTTTTTTCACCTGTTCGCAGTTAGAGCAAACCCATGTTTTTTTAATTATTTTTAATGCTTCCGAGTCTTTATCAGTAAGGTTGACGCACCTACCATGAAAAATTATTTTACACTTAACGCAGTGTATATTGTTCTTATCTTCGCGTGCGATAGAGTTGTTGCAAATATTACACTGCACCATTTTTTAAATTTATTAATGAGAATTACTTCGCAATTAAAATATAAATAAATACCAGGACTGTTGACGGTAGTAAACAACGTCTAATGCTGGTCTAATGCTGTTAGGATTAGTAGACGCCTGCCAGCTCGTTGCTCCCAGAACTCTATCAGTCTCGCTGCGCTTTCTTTACTCCGATTGGTGTGAAGATCCGACACTTAATAGCGTGATTAATAATAGTGTTTTTTTAAAAAAGAGAAGAGAAAAAAAAAACTGAACTTAACTGAACTGAAAATTAAATTGAAGTAAACTGAGAGATTATATGAACGAATTACACCGATGTACACACCAGGGCGTCTCAGGCCAGACTGACACAGGTATACGCCCTGAACCAATTCCAATCGTTTTTCCAGCACTTGTTTCAGGTTGAAAGTCTGCCATACTGAAAACAGCTTGATGATCGCCTATTATATTTTTGAAATACAGATATATCCGGTTTGGTAGATTTTTAATGCCATTTTTTCCTTGCATTTGTTTGTTTCTCATTTATATATCCTGTTTATATATCCTCTTGTTTAACTATTTTCTGCGTATAATTCGTGTATTTCTTCAGTCTGCCAGTTGTTCCAACTTTATAATTTTTGATTTACTTTCCTCTGGCAGCTGTGTCTAAAACAGCTTGATCACTTTTGGCTAAACGGAAATCTCTCAATTTTCTTCTTTACTTCACTGCATTCTCGTATGGTTCAACCACTTCTGAGATTGTCGTTTCTCATGAATATCTATTACTTCCTTAGCTCACTAGCGGATCCAGGATTTAATTTTGGGGAGGGCTTCAGCCCGAAAGCTTTTTTTTTCATAAAAATAACGATAATTACTTTAGAAAAAAAGAAAGAAACTAACAACATGTATGAAACGGTGTTTAAGTGATTCCTAAAGCCCTTTTAATATTAATCACACGAACATTAATGCTTTAAGCGATACTTTTTTTATATTTTTTTCGATAAAACGTGGTTATATTTTACCATTTGGGGGGGAGCTTCAGCCCGAAAACCCCTCCCCCCCCCCGTAGATCCGCCCGTGCCTTAGCTGTTTGTTTTAGCCTTCTGTCTAATACTTCCCAGTGTAATTCCTAAGTAAGACCATCCGATTCATTTGGGTTCGAAGTTATTCTTCAGCGCGATTTGTTCTAAACCTACATTGTAAGTACCAGGATAATGACGTTAGTCTCTTCAGTTAATACATATTTAATTACTATCACGTTCTCATTACATGGACTAAATTATTTATTATTCATTCAAATATGTACCAAGTATATAATTCATTATGCTCTATAAAATTATTATATATCATGACTGATAAAAAACTAATAGTCATCACCCGGACTCGAATCTGAGACGTTGAGTTCTGGTTGTCAGTGCTCGCCCACTGAGCTACCCCGCTCCCTATATATATATATATATATATATATATATATATTGGCTCAAATACATTATCATAATTTTATATTTACTGCTAATATTTAAGTAGAGAGTAAACTTAATATTTAAGTAAATTATCTGTGTTATAGTTTCATTGCATGATGTTAGTTGTAACTCTTATTAATATAAATTAATATTTGTGACAGGTCAGCAGCAGCTTCTATTATAATGACAAGTGCTAGATTGGGATCTGCCTTAGGTGGTCAGATAATGGGGCTACTGTTTGAAAATCATTGTGAAACAGGTTTTTTCGGAATAACGTCCATAATTATAGGTATTTATTCAATATATAAATTCTAATTGTTTAAAATTCTAGTTTAATTCATTACTGATTTTTTAATGGTTTATTTAAGGTACTGGCATCTTATGCATATTGATACCAATCAAGACAAGTGATGAGAAGACACAAGGTATTGAAAGTTCCTAGAATCATCCAACAAAGTAATTATAGATCATTACTTAAGATTATATTTTGTAATTTATATGAAATTTGTATATATCGTATTTTTTTAATTTTTATTATGTAAATAACAAATTTTATAATAAATATTATATCAACTAATTGATTTACATTAATTTTTACCTTCACTATAATTGAAATATTTTATTGAAACACTAGTATAGATGAATACTATTTATGTATTTATTTTTTATTTGAATATCACAAATAAATGTCAATCAGATATTCACTTTAGTTCTTATCTAATCGCAGATGTCTTCATAATACTACCTTTACTTCTGTGATTATATAGTTGTGATTCTGTCTGTAATTACTGTAATGTTAAAACGATATCATTAATGGCCTATTTCATTCACCTAACGCCTTAAATACCTCAATTCCGTTTTAGGATTTACAAGAAAGGAAACGAACGATTCAATTCAATTTATTAAATACAGACAAATAATTGTCTTTTATTATTCTTTTAAAAGATTATTTTGATGTATATTTTCTTTTTAAAATCTTTATCTAACTATTTCATTTTGTTTTTCATTTACATATTTTCTCCAAATTTTATTTCATTTCTTTTATTCTTATTTTATCTAGTGTGTGTGTATATATATATATATATACACATACTAGATAAATATATATATATATGTATATATACACACACTAGATAAATATATATATATATATATATATATATATATATATATATATATATATATATATATATATATATATATATATATATACCAAATGCCCTTGAAAAAATAATAGAGACATTCGGAAAGGAAATTATGACTTTTGGCAGGAAACTTACGCCATTGCAAACAATGTATAATTTAATAATTATAAGTGCAATTATTATATATATTTAATTAATATAGTTAATTAATTGATTATATATAGTTCATATGCAATTTTTAAAAATTGTATTTATGTTATATTTATGATTTTAAAAACTTTTTTATTATAAAAACGAAAGGAAGTGGTAACAAATGACAGAGGTGACCTTAGTTAGAGAAGAGGAAAAGGGCTCAAAAACTAAAAGATTTTAAGGGCTGCCTAAGATAATAATCTGTTGCCGTCTGAGATATATTCACTGGAATTCATTATCCAGCCAATCGATATTTTGCTTCGTAAAGTTGCTCTTTATTTTATTCCCTGAACGACAAGCAGCAATATTTTGATTTAATTTATCTGAAGGGCTCCTTCAAACCAAGGATGGGCAAATGGTACTCTGAGTACTGTATTTTAACAAATATTTTACTCAAATTTAATCACGATTGGGATTTCAACCACTACTTCAGTTGATCGTTTGACATCAACTGATGATGTTATTTTATGAAATTCTATTTATTTATTGTTAGTTTATTAAATTCTATGGTATTAAAAAAAGATCAGTATTTGAGTAAAAATCTTGGTACTCAGTACTCAGAGTAGCATTTCTTCCGTTTCTGCTTCACATTCAAGTCATGAAAGTTGAGCCTAATGCCTCAGCCTGTTCCTATTCTTCAGTCTCACTTAACTTAGATTTAACGACTTACTTTTCAGATTGTATACCCTCAAAAAGCTTAATTTGGGCCTCGAGAATTTTCTTTACTTATGAAACCCCTCGATCAGTTTGTAGCTCAGATTAACGTGATTTCTAATAGTTGGTTCCAACCTTTTTCTGTTTTCGTTGGTAAAGTGCCGTGAAGTTCCCTGCTACGTCTGATCCAGTTGGTCTTACAGTGAGTTGTACCAAACATGGACTAACAGATAGTTTACTGTCGATTTTAGCCCGGGGACAATTATCTACTCGAGTCTTCGGTTCTTGTCGCCCCTCATAGATCACGAATTCACATATATCCTCTTGTGATATCGGTGATTGATGTAAAGCCGTAGCGATCATTCATTATGTATGATTGCAGAACATGAAATCACTGGAATGAAGAACAATTATGTTCAGAAATCTGGTTGAAAGTTTTTTTTATAATACCTCCGCCTATACCTTAGGCTCAGGGTTTTTCTTTTCCTTTATTTTACATAGATTTTGTAAGGAATAAATTATATTTAAAAATATTTTTTACTTTTCCCGGAGTTTGATCTCAAGAAATTTCCAGTTTGTTCTTGCCGTAGCGGTCTATAAACCCGACATTCATGTAGTTTATTAATAACATTGACAGATAAGAGTAAGCCTTGATTAGTAAACAGATTAAGAACGTGATTCTATACCACATTCCATAAAACAATTAAATATTTAGCAAAACTCAATATTAACTTTTTGTGTTTCCGGGGTAGTTTATTGCTGACTGAAAAGGGGGGAGCTGGTAGTTTTAGCCTTGTTAAATTTCAATATTTTATGCTTTGTTATGTGACAGTGTAAACGTTAATGTAGTTTATTTCTCCAGTGCAATATTATTATTATTGTAGTTCTCTCTTTTAGAATTCATCAAAATAAACCATACAAGAATTACCTTCTTCTCATAAATGACATGAAAAAACATATTTCATTGGAAAAAAGTAAGTATAGCATTTGGCCATGCGCCTCACAGGTTTACGGTTCAGCAAAAAAGGCTCACTTACAAAAACTACAATTCCTTCAATCTAACATTTTAAGACTAATAACAGCAGCACTCTGGTACGTCAACAACAAAACTTTACATACCGACACTAAATAACCAAGTATTGACCAATACATATGCACTCTTTACTCAAGGCTCCATATTGAACTACACCGGCACAACAGACTTATAAACGACATGGCCACGGCTGACATGTTCATCAGTAGGCGAATGAACAGGAGCTGTATGAGTGATCTCCTTCCGTTCCTGATTTCAGGATGTAAACAGACCAGGGAAGAAGTGCAGCTTGGTACTATTCTTCATCATGCCATTTTGTACCGTAACAACAAATCTGCTAATTGTCACTATTATGACAGGTGCAGATGAAGATTTGAAGATAAAAAAAATTACCAATATGTAAATTTTATCTATTTCACTTCTTATTCGTAGTTTTTTTGTTTCCCTCTTTATGAATGAATCCGTACCTGTCATGATGTTGACAATCAGCTGATGTGTTGTGGTGAAACAAGGATTGACATTATAAGCATGATGAAGGATATTACCCGTCAGCACCTCTTCCTTGTCATTATTTACTTCCTTGATTAAGGTGAGGAGATCTCTCATCCAGCTCCTTTTTAGTCTCCTCCTGATGGGCTTGGCAGTCGTGGCCATGTCTTGTTTGTGTGTTCTTGTAGTTTGAGATGAAAACGGGAGTAGAGAATACGTGTTTGTTGATGCATAGTTGGTTGTTGTCGTTACGTAAAGTTTTGTTGTTAGCGTACCAAGGAGCTGCTGTTATAAGTCGTAAAATAGGTTAAATATTGTAGTATGTGTTTTTTAAATGATTAAAAAGTACAATACATCGCAGACCACAAAAAAAAATTAAGCTTTGTAATAATTTATTGTAATTCCTTTATTGATGAGAATGTTATTTTGAGCAACCAGAATTTCTTATATATATATATATATATATATATATATATATATTTTTTTTTTTTTTTTTTTTTTTTTTAAGATCTTGCGAATCTCAACTATGGGCTTTATTAAATGAGGAAGCTTCTATAATAGTGGAAAATTTATAACAATAGCAGATTCAGTATTTATATTTAGCTACTGTATGAAAAGAAAGTGACAATAAAAAAATAATAGGTTCTCCGGAAATTAATGCAGATACATGTCTTTACTTAAAATATGCTCCATTCCTCTCAGTAAATTTCGAACAACATGTTGGTAAGTTTTCCATTTTCTCTAAATAGAATTAATGTTGAATTGTTATTATTAAAAAATTTTGAAAACGTATTTTCTATCAAATTTGAAGCAATAAACTTTTTATCGTTTAAAAAGTGACCCAGGTGACTAAAAAAATGATATTCAGTAGGCAAGAGATCTGGAGGTGGGTGAGGTTCGTTTAGTTTCGGCGAAGAAGTGCAGCGCAATCTTCATTTTTCTTTATTTTAATGAATGAGGAATCCAGGTTTCAAGTTTTTATACCTTTTAATTACGGTGAGATAATTAGCGAAGATTGATTTCTCAAACATTTGTTCCAGAACTTACCAAAGCTCGAAGAACATCGTGATCAATGGACCAATCCTTCCACGACCACCATTATCATCAAAGCTTCTCCTGAAGTTTCCCTCTCGAAGGTTTTCAAACCATTGTTTAAAATGCACAATGGTATTATAGCTGCACTCTCTCCCAATACCATCGTCCTACACTTCAATAACACTAGACAGCAAAAATGTTTTCGGATTGAAAGTAGCCATTTTACATTCCATTTTGGTTACAATTTAACCTTTAAAAAGTTTAGTTAGCTTTAGTGTCCAATATATAACATAATTGAGAGATATTTATAGAACTTTTTTGTTTAGATTTTTTTTTTTGTTTTTTGTACTGCTGTTACTGTCAATTGAGTTAAGGTCGTGGTTCTTTAATCACACTATGGGATTTGTGAGAGTCAGTAATATTTCTAAACTTTGCAGGAATTGTAATCCAAAACTAAGAAAATGCCTCGCAAATTTGTTAATAGCGGTGGCAACTTTTGTTACATAAGTGACATTCAATGCTCAAAAACGACCTTTATCGGAGATAGTAAAAATGGCCAATTTTCATTACTTTTGAGTCAAGCTATCAAGAAAAGTCATGGGCTCTTTTTAGCTAATACATTGACTGTGAATCTTCGTATGTGGTTAGCTGGAGAGATTGCAGAGCAAGAGTCGTCCGTACTGAACCTATGTCACGAGATTCCGATTTTGATTCGTTCAATGACTTGAATGAAAATGGTTAAATTTAACTCACCGATTTGTGTTGGCTAGTGTTATGTTTCTGGCAGTTTGTGTTCCGACCCGGTTCAAACTCGCTAAGATTACAAACACATAAGATTAATCTCTCAAACGTAAACAGTTTGTTATAAAGCGGTTTAATAAAAAGAATACAAGAAATCCTACAATATTTCCCAGATAACCCAATATCTCTTAAAGCATAACTTTTCCCATAATTACAAATTCTGTATTTTTTTTAAAAAAAACTTTAAAGGCCGCTTAAACATATACACAGTTCCTCTTCCCTTTTCTTTTAGAGTAATAACAGTTATCTAAAAAAATCATTTTTTATTTATTCAGAAATATTATAATCTGTCACAATTAAGAACATTTATAATAGTGTTCAGAAAAATAACTACTGGTTTTGGCCAAGCCAAATTATACTTTTTTTTAAAGAAACGTATATACAGTTTACTGTAATAGATAATTGCCTAAGCTAAATAATCTTTTAGTTATCACTTCTTATCTAAAAAATATCTTTACACTTAAAAAAAATTATATATATATATATATGTGTGTGTGTTTGTGTGTATCGTGGTTTTATTGTAAAATGTCATTAAGTAACATATACAATTAAATCACTAATTACTTTGATGAATTTTCTCAGAGTTAAATCAAAACATTTTGCACTTACGTTAGAGTAAAAGAGTTTTCTCAATTTAAACCAGTGATATACCCTGTAATTTAAATTTCATAATATTGTGTGTTTTGTAAGAAATAGGTTTATATTTGTCATCATTTAATAACGAAATTTTTGTTTAAATTATTGTACGAATCGCCCTTTATCAGTACTATGGTAAAAGTTTATATTCTTACCTGTGTAACCGAACTCTTAATAATATCATTGGTCCTGCTACTTGTTGTATAGAAATATTTCTGGAGAAATGTCAGTAGTAATCATTACTTCATTCTTCCTGTACCTTTTGCTCAGTCCATACGAAATTATGCTAATATGTAGTTAAATAAAAAACTCGCCCACTTTTAATAGCTGACCAGATGTCTTGCATTTTGCACAATATTGAGGTAGCTTGATTAAAATAAGACATAATGCACTACTATGATTTATAAAGCTAGGGGTCGCCCGACGTTCTCACCGAGGATGCAAGTTATATAATATTTACATACTAAGAGTTAAAATGTACACAAGAGATAAAAAATATATATGCGCGCACATACCAATTTCTTGCTCATTCAATGTTGACATTTAGTAGTTAGACGTGCTAGTCACGTAGATTTTAGTTAAAATTATTGTTCGATCTTCGCATTTATATATTTCTTAATTCTTTTAAAATTAGGAGACATGGCCTTAGAACAGAAGAAAATAGATGTTACGCTGGAGGAAGCTTTGACCATAGCAGGTAATAACATTCGTTTAATTATTTACATGGTATATCTTACTGTGGTAGTACTTTGTTTGACACTTTAAGGTAATATTATGAGCAATACACATCTAATAACATTTATTAATTACTAATTAATAATTCATATTTAATATTGTAATATCTATATGTTTCATGTTGGATAATATTGTAGGTTTATTTGGAAAAGTCAACAAATAAATATCATTAATTGCACAACTTTCTGGGTTAACGTAAGGAAAACTAATTGAATTACTTAATAAAATAATTTTCTAAAATGTAACTCAATATACGTTTTGCAATATATCATTGGATATTACCGAGGGATTTGAAAACTGCCCATGTCGAAAAGATCTTACAATTCCCATATTATTTGATCGGTTTTGTCATTTTATTTTAGAAAATGAAAAATTTACTTTTCTTCTATCACATTCTAGTCCAAGAAACGAATTAAAAACAAAACAAAGTGGGAATAAACGTAAAAGTTGGGTAGATTTGATTACTTTCTTATGACTGATATTGAAAGATTTAAAGTGAGGAGATCGGCAGACCAACGGATTCTGTTTCTGTGTGATCATTACTACTGTCAGCCGAAATTATTGGAGATCGTTTTCCTTTCTCAGTTATGTTCCACTAGCTCCATTACATATTGGCCATCCAACATTTATCGGGAACGGTCTTTGTTTACTACGATATCCTTTTAATGAAATCAGAGTTCAAAAAGCATAAGATAAAGATAAAAGCATAAATGCTCATAAGGCATAAACTATTTGTCTAATAAAACTATAAATAAATAGGGAAAAACTATTGCTTTCGTCTTACTGAATGTATATTTATTCAAGAAATGAACAAAGTTTTTTGCCCTCAGAATCTATTTCCAATGTTGTTTTACGTTTCAGACATCAATCAAGGAACAAATTCGGTTTCATTGTGGTATGCATATAATGTGCTGTAACATGTATATAATATGCACAGTACATGACTTATTCTTATTTTCGTTTTGAATCTATATAAAAAAACTATATTTTGTGCATACAATACTACTTTTGATACTCATCCGGTTTAGAAAAACATATATATTTGGCATACATAAATAGAACTGATCTAAGGAGTAAAATGGGTTCAAATATTTTTTTTTAATGAGATACAAAGTTAAGATTTGTTTTTGACACCTCAAAAAATCCTTAAATACGAATTTTCATACCAATCGAGAGAAAAAAAATTCTCTAAATTTTCGCCTAGGCTCCACAGCCTTGAATTTTATTACAAAAATCGTGATAACTTCGACATGGCTCCATTTATCCGCACGAAAATTAGCCTGAATTTGGGGGCATAAAATCTACACAAAATGGCACAAACTGGAATTCCCCTAATAAATTCGGCTTGAAGACAAAAAATTAAAACTTTTGGAGAGTTTTATTTATTTATTCCTTAGAAAAGCGTAAAATCTAAAATTTATCCTTATAGTTTTGAAGACCGTTAATTTAGTAATAACGTCAACTTAGGAGAATAACCTGAGTAGTTATGAATATTTTAGTAAAAAATGTTATAAAATAGTATCCAAGAATTTATATTTTTTTTATTTCAAAACTAACTCGTATTTAAAAATATTTAGTGGACTCTAAAAACGAATATGAATATTTTTTTTCATGACAAAATTTTACTTGGCCTACTTTGCTGGAAGCGTCTGCGGGTTTTTGTAATTTAATATACCTTATAATTCGTTTAATACAGTTAGCAATATCTTTTCTTATTTAACATAAAAAACAAATCGATTGATATATAATAACTTTAGAATCCATGCAGAGCAAAATTAGGAAACAGTAACATAAAAAAACAATAAAATTGTATAACATTTTTTTTTCTTGGATCCTAGGGCGCATTCTAAAGGACCCTCGGACATGGGTCTAATATTTTTCCATTTAATAACACCGAAAAATGTTTTATTGAAATCGGTGGTCCCACATCCGTAACCTTCCCTTGTCAGTTTGGGATCCTGTAAAGTTGTAATTTAGTTAATCCATGGAGAAGGTTATAATGAGGTTTTGATGTATTTAGTTCTTTGTAAAGCGCCAGGCTACCGATACAAGTCTGTACAACACCACAAAAATAATGAGTGCTATCTTGGTGAAAAAAACATCAAAAAACACATTTCATTTAATATAACATTAAACTGGTATCAAGCTCGTTGATAGAATCAACCCTTGCAATCAGTCTGAATCTGCCATCATCCATTTGAGACAGCACCTCCCAGCAACAATGAGAAGAATTCTTCACTAATCCAGAAAGAAAATTTATTCTATATCTCATTGACTCAACAGCGAGGAGTCCATTTATCATTGAATTGAAATGAATGCTGGCTGCTTAGAATGATAACACATGAACAATTTACCAGAAGGTGCACAAATAATCCTAATATGTGTATGAGATATGGAGAAATAGGAGGGGATGGATATTAAAATACTTTACAAACGTTGTATAATTTTTAGCTCCAAACCTCCTTCCCCTGTGAAGAATTGTGATAACCAATAATCCAGAAGGACACACTTGGCTTCCAAACGTGATTGCACTGTGCGGATATACTTCATTAAGGAGGTCCCTTTCGGGCTTGTTACCCACCGTTGATTCTATTGTTCCTTGGCATCCTCTTGGATAATAGTTTTCCATTTTCTGGAGTTCTGATCAATCCTCACATTAAAATTTCCCGGCTGACCTGTTGAATCTTATTTCTTGTATGTAAACTACAACATACCTTCCGCAGAAGGAGTTCCGCGGTACATATCTTCGAGATGTACCCCTTCCAATAATACCTGTGAGACAAACTCCGGTACGCTTTGGTGATTCGCAGCAGAGCCGTTCGCTGGATTGTCTACAACTCGCTATTCTGTCGGTGCGAGATATTGAGATTCCAGACAGGGGGCGCATACTTGAGAATACCTACAGTTATTCCTTAAGTGGTTTTAATTTTATAGTAATTTTACCCAACATCGTGTAATGTTCTCCCGTTTTACGATATCAGTATATAACCTTCATACTTACATGCCAAATCGCTCGGCAGCTACTCTAATCAGACCACATTATTAGAAATCTTTCGGTTTCAGTATGTGTTATGTAAATTTAGGCAACACGGTATTTGCAGAACTGGGCTGCTAAGCATTACTGCATAGCTTCTTACCCTGCAATGAAACCAATTTATATCAGTTGCTCAGCATAAATATTCAATTGTTTATAATTTCTTCTTTCACTCCTTCCAGCGGCAGGTCCTCTTCTTATGAGGTTGAATTGTGCAGAGCCTACCACTTCTTTCACACTCACAGATGGAAACTTCCTTCCCTGACTAGCTAAGAGAAATCGTTCTCTGTGGGAACATAGAGACCGGTCTTCCTCAGCAAGCTATTTTCTTTTATACTTTACATTTAACAAATCATGATATCTTTCTTTTTCACTAAAAAAATATTGTATAGTTAAAATCCCAGTTGCTTGACTTGTAGACTTGCTGTGATATATGTGTGTGTAGTGAAAAAAATACTTCCATATAATGTCTTATTTTAAAAATGAAACATTCGCAAAACGACTTCACATTTTTTTATAAAGGCACTTTTAAATATTATCTTTAATAATTACGGCAATTTGTTTTTTATTCTTTCCTTTGTAAGATTAAATAAATATTTTTTATAAAAAGTTTTCCATTAATGGGAAATCACATTGGTTTAATATCTCAATTACATAATGCTATAAAAGGATTAGAACTTGTACTAATCTATTATTTTCATAATGTTTTTGTCATGGTTCGTGTATTTGTCTACCAATCACGTATTCATCAACTTCTTTAATAATTTATGATGTTTCTTATGATCATAAGGGGAAAAAACTCATCTATCTTAAGTTTATAGGAATCTATTATTTTCATTTTTTACTTAATTTATATATTATGTCTGCCTAATGGCTTTTTTTATTTAATGTAACATAGATTCCAGCGTATTTTTTTGTCTTCTATTATTTGTATTATTTTAAATATCTAAAATTTCTGGTTTATCAAAATCAAATTTATGATTTATAATGATACTAGGCTGAGCAAGTGTTACTATATTTTTATAGTTACATTTTCCATATGCAGTTTTATCCTGATCTGTCATTTTTTTTATAATTCTACCATGTACATCATTTTACAATTGGAATGTTTTCAATAATTTTAATCGTATCTTTTCGTTACATAAAGGAAATAGTTTTTAAATCTAAAATTTCTTAATTTTGAAAACATCTCCGGAGTTTCATTAGGAATTTCGCGAATATATTTCAAAAATAGAGCTTTAGAGGTTCATTTGACTTCTGGAATTCTAAATAAATATACTTCAAATATATATATAGCATTTCCAAGTCAATTTCAACCTTTTCCAAATCAAATTCAACCTTTTCCAAATCAAATTAAACTTTTTCCAAGTCAAATTCAACCTTTTCCATTTCAAATTCAACCTTTTTTTATTTATTTAATTATCTTTAATTTTTCGATGTGTGGGTCTGTTATCGTGTGAGTAGTTTTTGAAAATAACTTCCTTTTTAAGATTACGTTACTGAGTTTCGAATTATTTAAGTTTTTTTTAATTATTCGATATAAGGGTGTATTTTTATGTTTCCCGATCAGTAAATTTTGAAAATGACATCCATTTTATGTTTACGCCACTGTGTTTTGATTTATTTAAGTTTTTAGAATTTATCCAATATAAAGGTCTACTTTTATGTTTCTGGAGCCGTAGATTTTGAAAATGACCTCCATTTTATGATTAGGCCACCGCGTTTCGACTTATTTGAGTTTTTCGGATATTTTTCATATGAGGGTGTATTTTTATGTTTCCGCAGCTGTAGATTTTGAAAATGACCTCCATTTTAAGATTACGCCACTGCGTTTCGACTTATTTAAGTTTTTTTTATTTATTCGATGTAAGGGTGTATTTTTATGTTTCAGGAGCTGTAGATATTGAAAATGACCTCCATTTTAAGAT